AGAGAATCTGATTGGTGGATTTGAACCACTGAACTTGAAATTAGCACCCCAACAGGAAAATATAGTGTAGGAAATGCTTTGAGGTGTTATAATTAGGTTTTGTGTCAACTTGGCTGTGTCAAGAATCTCAGTGGTTTTGCAGTTAGAACCTAGTAATCTCCTATGATGTTACCTAAGACAATGAAATTAGCTCCATAGTGGGAACTGCTGTCAGCAGTCAATGCGCTGTAAAAAGATTAGGGTGGAATGCAACTCCCTTATTCAGGTAATGAAAGAAGTTTCCTACAGGGCGTGGCCTACTCCCTTTATAAGTATACTCTGTGGTGTGCTTGTTTGCTTCCTGCTGGGTGTGGATCCTGAGTCTGGCTCAGCCACCTCTGATTCTTTGGACTTGAGCCAATGGCCCACACCGTATTGCCTGGGATCCTGGTGATCCTGGAAGCCATGAGCAGCTTGCCATCTGCCTTCCATCTGGTCTGTCTGCCTTGGACCCTGCAGCGTCACGCCTGACCTACTGTACTTGGAAATCATCCACCTCGGCATCAACCAGTCTGTGGTCTTCCAGGTTCGTCAGCTGCTGCAGCTACTCCAATTAGGAGCAGACTTAGCATCTACTCATGGACTTGGATTGGACTTAGTCACTTCTTCAACTGTGTGAGTGATTTTCTTGATATAAATAAATACATACAAATATATAAACCACCACTTTTTTACTTTTCTAGAAAACCCAGCCTAACACAGACCAGTTCTGCTCTTATAGGGTCACTATGAGTTAGAATCAACTCCACAGTAGATTTGGTTTTGATTTTAGTCCCATGAACAGGTCACAGAAAATATCTTTATAGTCAGCCAGTGAAACATTCCCTCAGGTAACATAGCAGAGACAGTTCCTACCAGCCTATTGTAATCAGGCTGGCTTCTCCACTTTCCTGGACAGGGCTACTGTTGAAGGGAGAGTTGAGAGAGGGTTGGTGGAATGGCAAAGAGGGCCGTTGCTGAGCCTTGCCAGGTGTATTGCAATAATCAAATTAAAGTTGCTGCTATAATTGTCTAGTAACCTCATTAACCCATGAGCCCTGCTTGAGTTAGGTTCATGTCTAGTGTGCATGTGTACGTGTGTGTGTCCCATGCAGGGCTCAGCATTTAATGCAATTATGTTTGTGTCTTCCTTCATAAAGACTTACAAAGTAACACCAAACATACTATTATAATCCATTATCATTTAGTTCTATTTTTTTCACAAACACTTCTAAGCACCCTTATTTATGTACATTCACACACACATATACACACATACATTGACCCTTGAAAAACACAGGGATTAGGAAAGCCAACCCTCTGTGCAGTTGAAAATCCATGTCTAATTTTTGACACTTCAAAATGTTAACTGCTAATAGTCTATTGTTGACCTTGATCACATAAACAGTTGTTTAATTCATGTTTTTGTTTGTTTCGTATAATAAGATACTGCACCCACAGAAAATTGCTTTTTCAGTAGGAGATAAAAAGGTATTTCACACACAACAAAAAAAGAGTAAGGCTTTTGCATCTGCTGGTCTAGCAACAATTATGGCTCCACAAATTTCCTTTTATTTTATTAAGATTTTTACTTTCTAATGATTTTTGTCAGTATTGCATTTTTAAATCTTTGAAGCCAATAAAAATAGAAATAATTTACAATGAACAAATGTGTCCTTCACCAAGATTCATCAATTATCTTATTTTTATCTATCATCCATATCCTTCAATACACATCTATCCACACACATCCGCCATAAATACATCTATACACACACATACATGCATTCAGTATCCATTTCTTCTATTAATTTCTTTGTCTAGCTATTTGAAAGTAAGCTACAGACATTGTGGCATTTAATTATGAACATTAGGTTGAACTATATTAAACTGCTGATATTCAGTTTGTTTTAAATGCTTAATCTACTACTGTTCGTAGTGACCCCATAGGGCAGGGGAGAGCTGCTCTGATGGGTTTCTGAGACTAGCACTTTTTTCTTTCCAACAGATTTATTGGCATATAACCATTTTCTTCTTCCTTGTACTCAATATTACTAGCTTTCCATTTTCACCTCCAATCTCCCCTGCCAGTCCCCCAAGAAACCATTCACCCAGTTACTCTCTATATAGATTTACCTCTCCAGGATTTCCTGTACCAAAATCTATGAAAAAGAAAATAATAACAAAAAACTGACAATAACAAAGCAAAGCAGAGAAAAACATCAACCAAAAAGAAAGCAGAAAATATTACAAACTAAAACAAATTTAAAATGGGTCAAAGGGAGATCAAATTATAAGATGTTAAATTTTGACTGCATCTGCAATAATCCACTTTGCCATGTATTCTGCATGACAGCAAGGATATTCACATCCTTGTCAGAGGGAAGGCACAGGAGGCATAATGCATGTGTATATCTCCTTCACTTTAAAAAATACCTGAATCAATTTTTAAATAGATCAAAATTGAGGATCTAGTTGACACCTTGTTTAGATGGCTGCTGCTTTGAAGACAACACTTTAAGACCCCAGACACTGTTCTTTCTCATAGCTAGCACCATCGGTTTTGTTATTTTGCACACTTTGCTACAGCACTCATATCTTCAGTGGTCTCTGCATAAGGGCAAGAATAGAGCAGGGCCATGTCATAAGAACTAATTGTTCTTAGATTGGGGCGAGAGTTAAGTTCGAACTCCAAATCCATTCATTTATCTATGGTTTATACATGTCTCTGGTTTACCTGGTTTATCATTGTCATTTTACGTTAGAGATGCTAAAATGGGTCAGTTATGTCCCTGGGGCATAAGGTAATTCTATTGATAGCATCACTAATTAGTCAATAGTAGAGGATTTAAAACACTGTTGAGAAAAGAAAATTATACCAATATCAGCTGATACACACTGGAATGTGTCAACATGAATTGTTAATGTGTACAGATTAAACCCTTGAGTGACTAGACACTATACAAACAGTGGGGGATGAATTTCCTTTTCTTCTTGCTTGATAGGGTGGGGCATCCACAGCTGTAGACCTCAGTCTATAGAACATATAAAGCAATTCAACTCTTTCTTGTAATGTCATGACTTTCTCTGCTTCTGGGAAGCACTTCCAGCACCACTAGTGGCACTGGGCATCAGGCCCATGCTGTTATTCAAAAATTACAGTGTGGCATCAATCACGATGAATGATGGGAGAACTGTGAGCTATCACTTTGTACCGTGATAGGCAATTTATTGGAGAGACAAGCCGTACACACAGAAATTGTTTGTGTCACGTGTCCTTTAAAAAATATCTGTGTATAAGTGGGTGTATGCAATTAAACCCAGGTTGCTCAAGGGTCAGTGATAATATAATCACATTGTATCCCAATATGTGGTTTTAAAAAGAAATCGACCTCAGAGTTATACTGGAAGGGAAATACAAGCCCTACTTTGAGAATGGCCATTAAAAATTGTATTATTTTTCTGGTGTCATCTGTGAGGACACTAAATAATATTTTTACCAGACTGTGCACATTTACACATAGCTGTTTTAGAAATGTAGGATCTGTGGGGTAATAAGCGTGAATACCAGTTCTCTACACATTCATGCTAAGCACCTTATTACCGAATGAAAAAAAAAAGTTTTGAAGTTAAATAATACAATCAAGCCATTGCAACTCGGGGGTGACAAGGCTAACACTTGAACTCAGGCCTCCCTGACTCTTGAGACAAAAGGGCTTCAGTTCACAGAGCCACCCTCCATTACCTTGCAGTTTTAAGTAGCTCCCATTCAGAGTTCTGGGTCACGCTGTAGAGAGTGGCTGCAGGGACAGTTCTACCCTGTCCTGTTGGGGTGCTGAGTAGCAATCCACCCCACGGCGCTGAGTTTGGTTTTTCCGTAGTTACGTGTTGGGCTGCTAACTACAAGGTCAGTAGTTGGAAACCACAGCTCTGCGGCTTTCTATTCTCATAGAGTTCGTCCCTGAACCCCACCGGGAAGGTTCTCCCCTCTCCTACAGGGTGGCGATTCGTTGGGATTGACCAGATGACAGTTGTGAGCGAGGGAAGCCTAGAGACGTAGTGAGACCTCCCTGGACTGCTCACCGCAAGGTCAGCGGTCGGAAACCACCAGCCCGGGCGCACAGAAGTCAGAGGAGATGTTCCGCTCCCATAGAGATTGACCGCGTTAGAGACCCACAGGGGCCGTGCTGCTCCGTCCGTCCTATAGGGTCGCGATGGGTCGGGATGGACTGGATCTTAATGACCGAGCGATGGGTTCTATCGAAATTGTAGCCTACTGCAGGGCAGGCGGGGTTTTCGTTTCACGGAGCAGCGCCCCCCCCCTCCCCCCTGCACAGGAACTGGAAAGAACGAGGTGTCCATCACCCCACCCTGAACAGGAACTGAGAAGGCAACTGTACAACGTGGCCCCTGCGCATGCGCGCGCCGTCCTGCCACGCTGTCCATTCCCGACATCCGGACACTATGGCGGCAACTTTCCCGGACTTTAGAAGGCGTCCGTCCACTGTCAAGTCGAATGCGTGGAAACTCTTAGTGTACACGACGTGGATGCCTTCTTTCCCCTGGGGGTTTCCGACTTGGAAGCGACGCCACGTGCCTCTTTCTGGGGAGTCCAGTTTAAAGAGTTTGCCAGTTGTCAAGATGGCTGCAGACAGCTGGTCCTGCGCGCAGGCCTTTCATAGGCCAAGGTCGCATCCTCGCCCCGCCCATTCCGTCCCTGCGGTCCCCGTCCCGCCGGGCTCCCTTTTCACGCATGCGCAGCGGGAGCGGGACGGAGGTGGGACGGTCCCTGGTCCTCCTGCTGCCACGGCCGCCGCCTCTGCCTCGCTGCCCCCGTCGCGCCCGCCCGGGGCTGCGTTGCCGGCGTTGGCCGCGCGCACGAGGGGAGGGCGGGGTGCGACGGAGCTTGCTTGGGGGGCTCCGCTCGGTGCCAGCCGTGCCCTCGTGCAGGGTGGGTGGCGGGGGCCCGCAGCAGGCGGGAGGCCCTAGGCGGCGCCATGTCGACGGGTGGCCCGTGCCCGGCGGGGGCCAGTGGGAGCTCCGGGGGTGCCTCCTGCGCCGTGGGGGTCTCCCCGGGCGGGGTGTCCATGTTCCGGTGGCTGGAGGTGCTGGAGAAGGAGTTCGATAAGGCCTTCGTGGATGTGGATCTGCTCCTGGGTGAGATCGATCCGGACCAGGCAGACATCACCTACGAGGGGCGACAGAAGATGACCAGCCTGAGCTCGTGTTTCGCGCAGCTTTGCCATAAAGCTCAGACTGTGTCCCAAATCAACCACAAGCTAGAGGTGAGCTGCGGGCGCCGGCGGGGGCCACAGTGGCGTCAGATCCCATTAAGATGCATCTGTGAAATGACCCCAGAAAACTGCCCCCCCCCCTGCCCCGCCCCGCCTCGCCTCGCCCAGGACCACCTGGCCTAGGGACCAGAATGGAGAGTGCGTGTGTCCCTGTGTGAAGAAAGGAGTTAAGGGAGGTGGGGGAAGAGGGAGGGGAGCCGACCAACGTGTCGGCCTCTGGGGTCCTGCATCCACCTTCCTTATCTCAGTGAGGAAGAAACAGGAACTTATTAGACCGAGTCTCCCTTGAATGTATATTACATGCACAAACCTAAGACGAGCTCGAAATTTCTCGGTCAGAAGAGTGCATGCCTTTGCCATTTGAGATGTTGAGAAAGCAGGTTTTCATCTCACCAGGCAGGTACAACCCTGATCGTTGTAACTGTCCCCGCTCAGCGTCTGTGCTTGCAGAAGCAACCTCTTCTCCCCATGCATGAACTATGTAGGGGAATTTGATCAGAGCTCTTAGGGAAATTTGGTGGGATATCATTGTCTTTCTTGGTTTACACCAGCAGTTGGCCCTTAAATTACAGACCGATATATCTTCAGTTGTTCTGAATGGCCTCTAACATTGAGTTTTCTGTATTTGCACTTCATGTCGCAACGTCTGGATTTCATTTTTGAGAATGGATTTAAAAAATGATTATTTGATTTATTCTCTAATCTGGACGCGAGTGTGGATGAGTGGTGGTGGCCCCTCAACCTCCCTCCCCCACAATAAAACCCCACCTCGCAAACTAAAAACTATGTTGTACAAAAGAATGAAATGAGGGGATCAGTAGAACATTTAGAAATCATGATAGATTACCATTATTAAATAATTACATGAAGCGCATTTTCTCCTTTGGCAATTTAAATAAGGGTCTGTCATTTAAAAGTAGATAAAAACAGGATAATTAGTCACTGGCAAAGCTCTTTCAGCATTAGCCTTCCTAAGAAATCTTTGCTACTGCCAGTTTTAATAACTGAGACCACCCACTGGATCCCAAGCAATATGAACATCCGCTGTGCATCCTCCCTGTGCCCAGTGGTCAGCATTTCCCCTCTTTCCTGGTGGGGGAGTCCTGAGAAAGTAATGCAGTCTCTGATTCACATTGGTTTTACGTGGTCTGCCTTTTCTCCGATGCAAGGGAACAAGATGCATTCCTTCCATCTTTTTTGAAAGGGTGAACAAGAAAGTGTTGAGGTGAAGGTAATAATCTGGGTCAATGAAAATGCCTTGATGTTCTTGACTGGAAGACCTTTTTCAGGTATGCATTGGATGATTTCTAGACACTAGTAATTTAGCTTTGATCACACGACAACTTTTAAATCATTGACAGCTACAAGGATCTTCTGATGATTCACAGATTTTTTTTTTAAATGGCAACAATTACCTAATTTATTTTTTAAACGACTTGCAGAAACATTAAACAGTGATATTCTGAGGTCAAGTTTAAAATCTAATTTTGGAGACAGGCTCATTCTGTGAGTAGGAGGTGGTACTCAATTTTTTTTTCATCTTTCAACATTTTAGATGAGAATTCAAAGTTGTAATAAATTATGTATGCTCTTTTCCCTCTAGAAATGATCTATTCTGATTTCAATTTCTGGCTTAGCAGGTAGTGTTAGTTCTCAAAATAAGAAATGCTAGAAGATTTCAGCGTGAGAGCATGTTTTCTCCACATACGTGAACCCTTGATTTAAAGGTCCTAGAACATGTGGAGAGAAAGAGACAGACTTCATTTGCATTTTTGAAATTTGTTTCCTTGCATTTTTAGTTACAGTTGACTTCTGTCTGTAGTATTAATCTTAGCCAGTTTAGTGAGTGTTGCAGCTTTTATGGAATCATTTGTGTGCTGCTGAGGCAAGAATTTCCATGGCCTCATAATAGATCTGCCGTGTTCATTTGTATATTTCAGGAGCTGCTGTATGTCGTGTTAGCAATCCTCAGAGGCCTAGAGTTTATAGATTTTTGTAACCTTTTCCTAACTTTAGATAGTTATATTCATTTAAGAAGATGGCCAGAAAAACAATATTTGAGGCTGTGTACAATATGCAGGAATCCTAGTGGTGCTGTCAGGGAAGCATTAGACTTTTGAACTCTCAGCTGCTCCTCAGGGGAACATTGAAGCTGTCTGCTCCTGTGAAGGCTTACAGCCTCCGGATCCCTTTATTCAATGGCAGTGGGCTTGGTTTTGGTATTATTGGATACAAGGCGCCTTGGGAGCACTGTGGGCAGGGTACTACTCAGCTGCTAACCGAAAAGCTGGTGGTTCAAAATGATGAGGTAGTCTGCTACTGTAAAAATTTACAGTGTGAGAAGCTTCACACAGGATCTGAGTTGGAATCAATTTGAGGGCCGTCTCTTTGATACATGTGTACCATCGTTCAGTGGTTTTAGAAACAAATGCTTCAAACTGTGTTACCATAATAAATATTTTTATATAATACAGATACTTTCAGTATGGGTAATTTATTATATATCGTATATACTTAAAGTACAAGCCGACCTGAATATCAGCTGAGGCACCTAATTTTGCCCCCAAAACTGCATTAAAAATCTGCTGGAAAACTTGGCTTATACACGAGTATATAGGGGAGTTAAATTGGTTCATCTGTAGTCAGGAAAATCTTTTCTTTTTTTAATTCAAATTTCAACTTTGTGTTTATTTTAGCATGTCGGTTTACAAAATAATACTTCAAAATAATTGGATATATTCAAATTCATTTCATGTTTATATTAATTTTTCATTTTTAGTATTATCCAATATTTATATGCATCAGGCAAATTCTTTGCCAAATTAAATTTTCTTTAAAATGCAAACAGAAATGATATAATAGAATGGCCCTGA